ATACCCGTTATTTGTGGGACTTCTCAACAATACAAATCTATCACTTTGATGTCTTGGGTACAATATCCAATGGGGTTATGGATAGACGCTATCGAAAAGTCCCATACTGAGATAAAAAAACGGTTCATTGCTTTCTTGTTATCAGTGGTTATTTAACCAAGGTCATTCCACAGCATAAAGCTATAATTATTCCCACATTAATTTAATAGTTGAATTCATAAATCAATTGAAGCTATACCACCATGGAAAATATCAAAGCATTTGATGGCCGATTCGTCCTAGTATGGGACTCCTCAATAGTACGCATACACGATCCCACTTCACAAAGTTCGAACCCAGGACCTATCAGTCTCGCATGAGAGCACTTAACCACTAGACCACTGAGCTAACCAGTATTCAACGGTGTGAATGTCTAATTTCAATCAATGCACGAAGTTGCGCCACTGTTCATCATTATGATCAGTGAGTTACTATCTCACAATAGACTCAGTTAAACTCCATTCATGTATTTATCTATTAAATTATTATAATATCCACAAAAACCCTTCTCTCCTTATTACTTTCTTGTTAACTAAGTCAAGTATAAAATCTTTGTAAAACATCAAATGTATTCATAATAAAAATTCTTCTATATACATTAATTTATCATAGAATTGATTCATGTTTCTATTATTCATGTAATTCATGTAATTATTCATAGTATTGTATCATAAAAATCTTTTTTAAAAAAAAGAGAAAAAAACACACAAATAAAAGAAAAACAAAATAAAAGAAAGAAAAAGTAACTTGTAATAAAACAAGAAATGACCAATGATCAATTTGGTAAATTTATATTTGTACATTTATGCTTGACAACATGATTCAATAATTTATCTAAAATTACATGTATGGACATGTTTTGTGTTTGTGTTTATGTGTGTGTGTGTGAGTGTTTACATATATTTGTGTTACATGTTTAATATAAAACTTATATATGATTGTTATTGGTGAATAAATAATTAACTTATTAAGAGGGAGAGAAAGAGAGGGTGTGTATGCGTGACAGAGTGATAGTGTGTGTGTGTGAGAGAGAGAGAGAGAAAGAAGAGAAACAGATTTTTCTAAAGACAATTGTGTTTTTTTCTCTTTTTTCTTCTTTTTTTTTGGCACTTTTGTCCAAAATAATAAAATTCAAATCATCATAAAATAATGATAATAATTTAATATAGTGTAATCTATATTATTTATTAGTGAATAATTCATTGTTTGTTTTGTTCACTCTTTCAATGAACATGTAGAGGGTTTTGGATGCTACGAAAAAAAACATAATTGATTTGTGTTATTATGACTAATTTTCTTTTCTTTGTTTTCTCTTTTTAGAATTTTCACGGTAATCATATACGTGAAAGATGAATATATGACATTATTATTTTTTATGATTATTCATTGAATTACCTTATTTTAGAATGAGATCTATATCATTTAGTGTAATAGTTAAACAAGTTGTTCAGTTATCTACGTATCTTTCTATGTATCTACATCTAAGTGTTTATGTTCATTTTGGGATTCGAACTCAGTACTGTTCGCTTCAAATGCTATTGTTTTATCCATTTAGCTATTGAGTCCTAAATAGGACGAAACGTGCATCCTAGATTCCATTACTAGCCATTATCTATCTTTGCTTAAAATGTTTGTGACTTAAGATAATTTCAAGGCAATCCACATAGGATGCACATGTATCAATAAGAGACTGATCAATTGCAATCCTAAACATCAATGTGAAGATTCAAATAAATAATACCAAGCGAATTTAAGCTCTCCAGTTTTTCTATTTTTCGATATCAATTTATTTGGGATTTTTTTTTTGGATTATTAGCTTGGATTTTATGATCATTTATCATTCGGATAAACCTCATATTGATTCAAACCATAGATGGGTGGATGCAAACAGATTTTATGTTGAACTGAACAATGTTAACTTGACTGAAGCTAGAAATGTAAACTACTGAATCCCAACTCATTGGTTTGAAGAGTAAGCAGTCCCCAGATAGTCAGAATGATCTAAGTTTGATCCCTAAGGGTCATGAATGCTCGTTAGTGAGGCATCTGATTCCAGGATGAAATAGCTCTCCAGTGCTTCCTGGTTTACCGTAATCGTATAACTAAGGTTCATCCATGAAGTAAAACTACTAAATACTAGGTACTTGGTTAGAGACCAATGTCGTACTGTACATACTTTAATGTAACTAGTTTTATTTATAATGTTTGTAATATGTACACTAGGTACATTGTGGTTTAATGTCTAGTCAGTCATCCTCGAAACAGATTAGATGATACAATTAACTATTTAGTAACGTTTACATGTAGGTTGAAATATATCAGTCTTTACAAGTTTCATGATATCAAGCATACTGAACCTCACATAATTGTTACAAAATGATATACTCTAGTATGACAAACAGCAGATTCACAATTGATACTAGATGAGAACCGCGCTATGTAGGAAATATTGATTATCGAATTTCAACTTGGTGGTTTATCATTATCATGTTCATCACGAAAATGGTATGGCAGAATCACCAGTAAGCAAGGGGGATCTAATTTGGATGCAACGGATGAGATCGGTAATGCTTAGGTAGCATTCCTACAACTGAAAAACATATGGAACTCAAAATAACTGTCTGTCAATCAACGTTAAAGTCACAATCTTTAATACAAACATCAAGACAGTTCTATTGTATGGAGTAAAAACTTGGAGAAGTACCACAATCATCATCAAACAAGTACAAGTATTTATAAACAATTGTGTACGCAACATACTCAATGTCCTTTGATCAGATACCATGAGGAACAGCCTACTGTGGAAGAGGGCAAACCAGCTTCCAAGTGAAGAGGAAATTAGGAGAAGATGCAAGTGGATAGGATGCACATTGAGGAAATCATCAAACTGCATCACGAAGCAAGCGCTAACTTGGAATTCTGAATAGAAATGGAAAAACGGAAGGTCGAAGTATACACTGTGTCGTGAAATGAAGTCCGACATCAAAAGGATTAATAGCAACCAGAAACAAGTGGAAAGGATTGTCCAGGACGGGTTTGGATGAAGAATGCTGGTGGACATCCTACGTTGTTCCACGAGGGTTAACAGGTGTAAGTAAGTAAATATTAACGAATGTTTATCATACGTTATTTTGTAAAGTTTAAATAAAAGTTCGGAAGGTAACCGAAATCATAATCAGAAGAATGAGGATACTATGTGTATGAATAAACGTAGTTAAGATCGGTGTATATTTATATGTTGAGAAGTAATCATTTAGAGATTATATAAATGTAATGAAATTAATAGGTGTTTGGGAAATCGCTCAATCGATGATATTATTTTCGTACTTTTTTTATCGTCGTAAAAGAAAAGATAACTGGATTAGTTACAGAATCGTTTGTCATTAAAAGTTATTTTGAAAACTTAGTAAGTTCCGGCTAACAATTTGAAATATTCGTCCCATACTAAAACGAAACAACCGTTCAATGCTTCCAGGTTTTCCATGGTGGTCTAGCTTTAATTTTCATTTCAGAAATCATACTTAAGGTAGACAGATTTATTATTAAAACTATCAACATTGAATACTTTTAATGATATTTAATTTTTTATAATTAATATTTCCGATAAATCAAAATGAAGAGTTTTGTATTGGTTTAGCATTCGAGGCACGAATTACTAGATGATATATGTCAATTGGAGCTAGACCACTATGAAAAACCTGGAAACACTGAACGGCCATCTCGTCCAGTGCTCATCCACGATCCCGCCTCGCCAGATTCGAACCCAGGACTTATCAGTCTCGCATGCGAGCGCTTAACGTCCATCGAGTGCTTTCAGGCTTTCCATGATGGGCTAGCTTCATTTAACCCATGACTTCAACTATTATAATTTTGACTTATTTATTTATTCTTTGAAGAAGTGGCTTACACTAAGTCACGAAACGTCAGAAAATCTCATTTTTCTACTCATTGGGATATTACGAATATATTAATTTATTTCTAACAATCTACCCTATGCTCAATTTATTCGAAATTATCAAATCAAATCTTGGTAATGATATCTACAAAGTAAAATTATGTTTTATATGTAATCATAACTCCTGAAATTATACACCTTTAATAGATAAGTTCCAATTAAATCTATTCCTAATAGATAAAACTACATTGCAGAATTCCTCAATGTATATATTAATATTACATTATCAGAAATGAATTTTCACAACAAAAAAAGTAACAATAACTAATCAAAACAAAAAAGAAACGAAAGAAAGAGAGAAAAAAAAGAAAGAAGCTTATTATCAATATTACATTTTATGATTTATAAATACATTTAAAAAAAACATTAATACAATATCATTATTGATTATTGAGATTTTCTAAAACAAACAAACAAACAAACAAAAAAAGAATTGAAAAAAGAGAAAAAACTTCTTTCTATTACACAATTACATAACATGAAATGATAATTGATAGAAATTTTAGAGAAAAAAGCAAAGAAGAAAAAGAAAAAAGAGAAAAAACTTTTTTCTATTACACAATTACATAACACGAAAGGATAATTTATAGAAATTTTAGAGAAAAAAGCAAAGAAAAAAAGAAAAAATAGAAAAAACTTCATTCTATTACACAATTACATAACACGAAAGGATAATTGATAGAAATTTTAGAGAAAAAAGCAAAGAAAAAAAAGAAAAAAGAGATAAAACTTTTTTCTATTACACAATCACATAACACAAAGTAGTAATGTATAGAAATTTTATTTAAAAAAAAGCTGAAATGAAAAACATTAAAAAAAGGAAGAATGTATTTGTAAACATTTCCATGAATGTATTTCAAATAAAATTGAACAATTCATTGGATCGTCTAATCTATACTTTTACAAATACATTGATCCTATTTTAAATATTTCACATATACATTTAACATTCAAATATTATGAAATTAACTATTGAGTTTTTAAAAAAAAAAAAGTAAAGAATCAATCAAAAACATAACCAATCAAATATAAATGATTGATAATTATTATTTATTATAGGATGAATTGGATGCCATTTAACATGTAATTGATTAGGTAATTTTATAATTTCATTAAAATGTTTTATACTTTTTAATTGTAATGCATTTAAACTAATATATACTTCACCAATTAATTTTTTAATATACCATTTATTGATTTGTCTTAATTGTATAATAATTGATAAATATTGAATATAATTTTCTTTTATTTTAAAAGAAATTTTTTTATTAAAATATGGATTAATTAATTCTTTACGTGATTGTGTTTTATATTTATATAATAAATGATTATTATATTTTATATAAATAATAATATCTAATTCTGTTGCTAAGGAATTTGTAAAGTTCCATTTATCATTATTATCATTATTATTATTATCATTAATAGTATTATTATTATTATTATTATTTAATATTAAATTTTTTATTTCAAATATACATAAATCTATACGTGATGTCTCTGGATAATAACCTAAACCAATACATAATTCACCAATATTAATTGGATTAATTATAGAATTGATTGATAACCAATCAATTTTTTCATAAAATTTTCCAATATATTCACTATGATTAATTTGATTTAATGGAATTAATAAACTACCTAAAAATTGATCAATATATTGATTATTATAATGAAATATTTCTAATATAATTATAATTAATTTTAATTGATTTATTGATAATTTATATATAAATGATTGATTCCAACATGGTTTATTAGAATTATATATAATATTAGTTCTATATTGTTTATCTATAAATTGTATAGGATTAATGATATGGAATTGATTATTTAATTGGGTATCATCTTTATATTTAATAAATGAAATTATTGTATATGGATTTAATGTTTCTTTTTCATTCGGTACTTTTAAATTATTTGCTTGTATAATACAAATTTTTAATTCTTCTTTATGTAAATTATAATTTAATGAATATTCTATTGTGCCATAATTATGTAATTCATCATTATTATTATTATTACATTTGATTAAACCTGGTATATCATCTATATATATTGGTTGTTCTCTTTTTTTATATACTTTTGGTATATATTTTTTACGTATAAATGTACGTATATATAAAATTAATAATATAATAAATGTGAAACATAATATACATATTGTTATCAATATAAATATAGCTATTGGTATACTGGTTACATGAAATAATTTAGTTAAATTTAATAAAAATTGATTATTTGATAATGGATCAAGTTGATAAGGTATTGTTTGATTTTCATTAGTTATATTTAAGGGAATATTATCAGTAGTGGTAGTAGTAGTATTGGTAGTAGTATTAGTAGTAGTATTATTCATTTTTTTTAAATTTCATAAATTTCAATAATAAATAAATCCAATTAATTGAATAATATTTTTTGTTGTTGCTTGAAATAGTATCCAAGTGATATATTTCTTATGATAATTAAAATAAATTTAATAGTTTTCAAGTGGAAAGTTATTTTTTTGTGATATTTTTGTCTTTTTTCTTAAAAAAAAGGAATTTATCAAGTATTATTGATTGGTTAATAATATAAGGAATCTGATTGGTCCATAATTCAGGTGAACCATAAAAATCAAAAAATTGTTATTTAAATAATTATTGATATAATCAGAGAGGGGGGTTTTATGAATGTTCTAGTAATTTAATTGTTGGATTTATGAGTTTATGGAAAAGCTGGAAAATTTTCTATTATGATCTAGATTCAATTGATTCATGAAATATTGGTATCCAATATTATTTGTGTTTATTTTTTATATGAATGATTTTGACAAATCCATTGAAAACTATGAATTTATCCAAGTTAGATAACTAATGAAAATCTGAAAGAACTGGATGATGCTTTCGTTGTAGTATGGGACTACTCGGTGATGAATATTTACAGTCCTATACGTAGGAATCGAACCTAATACACTTGATTTTTTCAGTTGCATCATTACACAATCATTTAGTGTTTGTTAATTCCATGAGTTCTGGTCACTATTTCAATGTTCTGGAACATTCCCTCCCTAACTTTATTTATCCAAAACAAAATTTTTATAAACGTATTAACTCTATTGAAATCTTTGCTACATCACGATACACATATTCATCTTTTATCACCCTCTTATGTATAAGTATATCAATATCTGTAATAACGTTGATTTCTAAATATTTTAGGTTGTAAGCAGCTGATGAGAAACAAACGAAATAAAATGAATTCATATTATTTTTCACATGATTATGCACGAAAACACTTAATCTTTTGGCCACAGAGCCGGCATACAATGCTGTTATTTTCTGAAGCATTTACCTACCGAAGATAATGAAAGATTGTCGCCCAGCATCATGGATTAATTGTGACTATAGATTAACACCACTGAATGCTTGCTCAGTAGTATGGAGGTTAGGTGTACGCACGCGAGCCATAAGGTACTGAGTTCGACTCCTTATTGAAGCTCTGTGGATACGCACTCCTGAAGAGACCAATAGTAGAATCAAACGGCCATCCATCGCTCTCAGGACTTTAATCGTGGTTTAACTTATATAGTTCCCTGATTTCATTGAGACATACAAATATTGTTAACCTTACACTTCCATATTAAAAACATGAAATTGTTACATTTGTTTTATAAAAAATCGTCTCACAATACCTCACGAAATCTCAGAAATTTAATTTTCCAATCTTTGGAGCCTTACAAATATGTTATTTCTATCATTAATGTATTATCATTTTGTATAATCTTGAATACCAGATAGATAAGTATATGGTTCTGCAAGTAAAATTTCAACCAACCACGTTTTACAACGGTTTGTATATAATACGTTAACCTTGATGAAGCTACTCCAGATTTTAAATTAAGAATCAGATGATTCAAAAAAACAACTTTTGACTTGAAACGTTACTTATTCATATTGTTTTGACTACTGAAAATCATTTAAGTAACTACTAAAGTTTAGTTTAAATAAAGGTATATAAAAACTCCGTTTATCACGTTCGTATTACAGTCAGGGTAGTTATCACAGCATAAAACCAACCTATTAATGGTATAACTATCAGTGATTTTAGTTTAAATCAACCCCCTATTTCGAAAAAAATTGTTTTATTTAACATTATTCAAAATCCAGATTGCAGAAATTATATTAAAAGCAACTAATATGTCGGAGATATAAAAATGTCGGTAGGGGATTATACAGTTAAAAAGTAGTTGTACTTAAAAGAATTATAAACTGGGAAGTGTCTGTCTACTGAATACTGTACGGTGATGATAAGATATGGCAAATATTAACAATTAACTTGAGACACAATAAAAAATTCCTAGAATCTTTAAGCTTTGAAAAATGGTCAATGAAAATATCTACTATACTATATTCTTAAAGAGTATTAATTTATTTTAAAAATCTGTTGGTGTGATCCATAACGTTGATTTGGAACTAATTGGATGGATGTATCTGTTTCTTAGTTTCAATATTCACATCGGAATTCGAACTTGTTATCTTTCACTTCAAACTTTAACTCAATATCCACCTAGTTACTGATCTATAACCTATCCATTCTATAAAAATATATGACAAAACGGCTGTATCAATGTGGTCTATACTAGATGTACACATCAAATGATAAAAATTCGGTTTTGAATATCAACAACCAGTTAGTAAAAATCCTTATTACATTAATTTATTCTGTTTAGACAACTACAATTTTTCTACTGCTAACAGAAAACATATTGTGTTAGTATTACGTCATTCAATTTCAATTTTAGTAATATACCCACATAAATGTATCAAAAACAGTTCATTCTGTTTACGTAAAGAATTTTAAAAATGTCTCATTTTAACTACTTCACTTAATATGAAGTTGGAAGGAGTGTTTTTTTTTCAGAATCGGAAGGTAAGTTTTATTTTTCATTGTAAAAAAACTAGATAGTATTGATCTTCTTTCATAAAAGAGATAGATATGAAGTTGTAATGACTATGTGGTGTGTGCTACTTATGTCGATCGACATAAGTAGTATGTAGCATGAATCGAATATGGAAAACCTTAGTAGAAGAAGGCTATGAAGTTAGATTTAACAGAAATAGAAACGGAATAAAAAAGGAATTGTGAATTGAATGAACAATACAGAATATGATAGATAAATGATGGTAATTTGCAAATGGATTTTTTAATGTAGGGTTTTCATTTTTTTTTACCAAGATACTATAAAATTTTGTTTGTCTGTGATATAACCATAGTTCAATTCCAATAGACATATACCACATGACGTGATTTATATATCACATACATTTTCTCATCAATCAAACATCAATTAGGTGGCTATCAGAACTCAATAGCTATGTGGATAACGTGAAGTCGTTTATAGAGAACGGTATTGGGTTCGGGTCCCAGAGTGGACGTCAACTCTGAGATGTAGGTACATCCAGCTAACGAGTCCCAAATAGGTCGAAACGTGCGTCCTAGATTCCACTGTTAGCTACTATTCATCTTTGCTTATAGAACATCAAGACTGTTTACTCATAAATATTGTTCATTATTTTGTTTTCAACATGAAAGTACTTTGAAATTGTACATAACAACTTTTATAGTTGTTTGTTTGTTTATTCTACGAAAGAATGTCGTGAAATTCAAGTTTTAGGTCACATAATATTCATTTTAATGATTTCAGAATGAACTTTATTGCTCGATTAGTTCGTTTTTTACTACTCAAGTTGATGTACCTGGAATTGATTATTAAAAGTAGTCTGAAAACATGAACATTAAATTTCCAGTTTATCATTCAATTTCTGAATGAACTTCTCTTAACTCAATACATGATATCACTTCCTTATGTAAATGCATTTAAAATGAAATAATTCCGATTTCTGAGAAAGATATTCAATAAGAATCGTAGGTATGACAGTTAAATGTTAGATTCTACTTTTTAAAAATTATTTGTTTAGTCATCAGATTTATAAATCAAATCTTTCGTGGGTTGGTTGACGTTTGACGTTGACACCGTTAGATGCCGGCTCAGTGGTCTAGAGGTTAAGCGTTCGTGAGCGAGATCGAAAATCCTGGGTTCGAACCACGTGAGCAAGTCCTAGATGCTCACTGATGAGTAGTCCCATACTAGGACGAAACGGCCATCCAGTGCTTCCAGGTTTTCCATAGTGGTCTAGCTTTAATTGACTCATGAATTCAACCATTAAAAATCTTTATTTTTTGTCATGTAAAATTATCATTGAATATGCATTGGGTTTTAGTTGAGTTGACATTTCGCATTAAAAAATATATTTTATTATTTATTATTTTTAATATTTGACCTTATTATGCAATAAAAGAGCATATGATTATATATGTTAATTATTTATAGTCATTTAATACTTCGATTCATAAGTCGATTAAAGCTAGACCACCATGAAAAACCTGGAAGCACTGAACGGCAGTTTCGTCCAGTCGTGGTATTCCTCATCAGTGCACATCGAACTCAGGACTTATCAATCTGGCTGAGCTAGCCGGCATCCAACGATGTTAATGTTTAACTTCTACTAATCCACGAAATTGAGCGACACATCCATCATTATCATTATTGAGTTACTATCTTACAAAAACAGATCTGATTGAACTTCACTAGTCACAGCTTCTCATTAGAACACCGAGAATTCTATCTTGAAACCACATACTAGTGGTTAAGATATTCTGAAATTTTATTGTTCATTATCTCATATTAAATAAATTGATAAACTGATATGATTCATAGAAATTCCTTATTTCAATTAACTTTATAATTGATAACAATTGTAACTTATAAAATGATAATGAATCGATTAATAGACATACATTATTCATTGATATAATTAATAATATAATTAATTCTTTTCTTCTGTAATTTACCAATATATATATCATATTCATGTAATTCTCACTAAATGATCAAAACGTTTTTCTCACATGTTCATTCATTTCAGAAATAATGAAATGATATACACACACACACACGCACGCACGCACATAAAACTATTTTGCATTTTTACATTTTTCCGATTACATCATCACTACTTTATCACTTTTTGTTTTAATGAACTGATTAATGCATTCATATATACATATAGTGAATTTATTTTATTCATTTAGAAGTAATTTACTTTATATTCTGATTATCACGTTTAGGTATTTATATTAATCAAATTATTAATGTTATTTGTATGTATTATATCATTAGATATAGTATAAAGTAGACATGAATTACCTTAAAGTTCATATCAAACATGTTATCTATGTATGGTATTGAAAATGGATTAATCACTAAGCTGTTATCAATGTCATACTTTCCTGTTTATTTTAGTGTTGATTGAATCCTATCGATCGAGTACATTAGTCAAGGTAACTAGATATCACGTGTACTATGTTATGGTGTGAGGTAACGATTGGTGGTTGTAGGTAACTATGGATACAACTTTCATGCTATTT